TCTCCAGCCCCGGCAGGTGGGGAGAGAGGGAGGGTTATCTGTGGGAGGTTGTCTTTGACTGAGCGGGCCTGCAGCCAGCCCCCATCACCTGTGCGCATGCGTCATCTGCCAGAACGTGGCCGCGGGGCCATGTGGCTCCAGGATCGTCATGTGCCTTCCAGGGGCCTGGTTCTACGCTGGCTCTGCAGCCGGGAGGAGGGCGCTGGCCTGGGCCCTGCTCCTTCACGGCTGTGTTGGAGAGTACCCACCCACCTCCCACCTCCGTCTCTTTCTGCAGGGAAGGGTCTTCTTTTCTAACCGTAGGGAGGTGGTTGCAGGGTGAGGATGTGCGTCTCCAGGTTCATCTCACCTTCTCTCTAACCGTACTACATCATACGTGCAGGTCACAGCACGTTTCTCTCCTGAAGTTAGGTTGGAGGTGCAGGGGCTGGCGGTCTTGGCTCTCTGTTCCGACTGCCCTGTCTCTGCTCCGGATACACCAGGCTCAGGAACCTTGGGGCCGCTTGCTGGCTCCTCGGCCAGCATGGTCTGCCTGCCTTTCTCTCCTTCCTGAGGCTCTCAGCCGTCCCCTGACTGTGCTTCCTGGCACCAGGTGTTCGGTGTGCTGTGGTGTTCTCGATGGGCTGTGGGCTTGGCTTCCCTCACATTAGAGGGAAGCTCATCCCTTGAGCTTCTTGCCAGGTGGTTCAGCACCTGGGAAGGGCCCGCCTGTCAGTGCAGGAGACGGAAGCTCCATCCCTGGGTCAGAGAGATGCCCTGGAGGAGGAAATGGCAACCCAGTCCAGTGTTCTTGCCTGGGAAATGCCATGGACAGAGGACCCTGGTGGGCTGCAGTCCATGGGGCCACAAGAGTCTGGCATGACTGACCAACTAAGCACAGCACACTGTGATTGTTAACTATATTTATAATAAGCTAATACAACTCTAATGCATTTGTTTATGGTGGAGTGCTGTCTGTAGAAGTGCCATGGAAGGGTGAAAATGACAGGCATGATGAGCTTTTGCTGCTTGCTGGGTACTCCTAAGTGCTTGCATGTACTTCGTCTTCCCCCTGTCCTGTAGATGAGGAAACCAAGGCCCAGAGCGGTTTGATGGTGGGTGCTGGGCTGTGAGTGTGATTGTAATGGGAGGGCTGGGAGACACGGGCCGAGACTGTCAGTCCAGCACTGGAGTCCACTTTCTCCGTCACTGATGCTTTAGGCTGGAGGATCATTGGAAGTTAAAGTTCCAGGTGATACTACTGATGCAGAAAGAATTGTGGGGCTTTGTTCCGTATTGCTAAAGAACACCTGAATGCTTCTGTATATGCTGTTAGCGTAGGGATGGTTAGTAAAAGGGAAGGAGGTTTGGGAGGGAGATGGAAATCACAACTTGAAGATTCCAAGGGGGGCCAGATTTATGACCCAATGTGTGTTCAGTTTAATATCAAAAGTTGTCCTTTGAAGTTAGAAATATTCAAAATAATCTCCCAGGAAATCTGAAAGTGCTTAGAGACCCTCAGGCAGCTTGAAATTTTTTGTGAAAACTAGCCACATCAGTCTCCTCTGAGCTCATTCTTGTAACTCCATAACTGCTTCCTTTTAAGAAAGGCTGAAGGGGCTGAGGAGAGCATGTGTGCGCTGATCTCCGCCTCTGCAAAGTGAAAGTAAAAAAGTAGCAAGCTTCCTACTTACTTACAGTGGGGAAAGCCAGTGTGTTTGTCCACCAGCACTTTGCCTAATCTCTGTCATGAGAGAACCTGTTGGGCAGACTTGAAATGACCTGTGTAATGGAAGGAGAGAGAAGGCTATAAAAGCCCTGTTGTAGCAGCCACATGATCAGTGTGTTCAGAGCTTCATCTGCAGGGGTGAGGCTTGTGGCTCTAAGATGCATTTGCAAACAAAATGCAGAATTTATAAATAACCGCAGATGTCCGAGGAAGCCTGAGTGTTTTCCCAGCATGATGCGAGCCTGATAAGAGAAGTGGTGTGAAGTATTGGGACTTCATTGTCAGGACAGAAAAGTTAGGAACTTCTTCAAGATTCTCTGAACTGTGAGCAGAATCAGGGAAGCAAGACAGAATATGCCATTGCTGGCCTCTGGGGAGCTGAGCGGAGGCGGCAGCTCTGGAGTGATTCTTCTGCATGTGGGGCTGAGTTCCGCCTTCCTGGTGTTGACGGTACAGCCAGCAACACTGCAGACCTCGTGCGAAGTGAGCTGGGCTAGGTGGGGTGCGGGAAGCCCTGGATGAGGGACTCTGAGAACAGTGCTTCTGAACAATGGAAGTTAAGCTTTGTCTTACTTCTAGTGGGGACCAGTGAGAGTTTTAAGTTAGTAATAAGTTCCCATGAGTGATGCTGCTTTCCAGTGATTCATCCGAAACAGCACTGAAGGGGTGAGTGGAAATAGCCTTACAGGACTGTCTCTGTGTCAGAGAATGCTTTTTACTTTTCCCATTCTTCTTTCTGATACATCTCTCTGTCCTCTTTTGTCAACTCACTAGCATAACAGTGACTGATACAGCTAATGAGATGTGAGTCCTGAAGTAGTTCAGATCGAAAGCTTGTCAGCAAATCAGTAGTGTAATAGTTCCAACTGCTGTTGTAGTTCAGCATGTTGTTCCTATTTTTTATGTGAAAACTGGCCAAACGCAGTAACAGAATGAGAATGAAAATTTCTAACAAGTAGACTGCTGCTAAAAGTTAGCCTTGAGCACATGATTCATGGCAGAAAATTCTCTGGATGGAGGTGCAGCTGGGGAGGAATCCTGAGGGGTGGGAGGATGGGAGAGTATTCCGGGCAGTGGGAGGGCTGGCCAGGAGCAGGGAAGCTGTGAGGGACGCTGCTGGGCCCGTCAAGAGGAAGTGGAAGCTTAGAGGGGGTCTGACGAGGTGTGTGTAGAGCTCCACCCAGCAGTGCTGGGGGGTCTGTGGGGATGTGGGCTTGGGGGCTTGCCTTGGCCCAGGTGCACACAGTGTCTCCTGGAACAGTGTGGCCCCAGGACAGACCACTGGCAGGAGAATGAAGGAGGGACAGGGAAAAGGAAGTTTCTGAATCAGGGGCTTCTGACAGGGCTCACATTTTGGCTTAAACAGAAGCACAGAGTGAACGTTTTCCTGAAGAAATCAGGATGTGGACGTTTGTATAGAATGCGATGGTTTCCAGAATTCATGTTTTGCATAAAAATTGTAAACTGTGATTTTCATGTCTGAGTTGGGAAAGTGTCATTTTTAGAATCCCCAGATTTAGTCATTTTGATGACTTTTATGCGTTGAAACTTCCCCTACTACATTTTAATTTGTTTTTCTTGGGTGCTGAAATCTATGATTTAAAAATAAAATAGAATGGTGTCACGTGATTGGATTTCCTTGGCTGTGAAGCAGGGCACGTCCCTCCCCCCTCACCGTGCGTTGGTGAGCTCAGGCGGGCAGGGCTCCGCACGGGGCCCGACGGGCAGTGCGGGAGCCGGGGCAGTGAGGCCGTGGCCGTCACATCCGTTCCCTGCATGTCCTGCCTGCGAAGCAGATACTCAGGTTGGCTTCACAGAGTGACTTGACCCCTGTGTAGATCTCTGTGGCCGCCGCCGCTGCACGGCAGGAGTGTGCTGGGAGTGCTGGGAAGTAGGGGGGGTTCTCTCTCCCTCGTGATGGCGCCCAGATGCGAGCCTTGGTGCTGACTCCGGTGGGCCTCACTCGGTGGCCGGCTCTCCCACCACGCGCCCTTGGGGCTGTCAGACCAGCTGGGGAGGCAGGGCATTGACCCCAGGTCCCAGTGACAGCCCCAGGAAGCCCCCCAGGTCCAGCCCAGGTGTCTCACGCCCCCTTCTCAGCACACGGGTGGGCCAGCCCGAGTGAGGGCCTTTCCTGGCACGGCAGTCCCCCTGCCAACTACGGCACTTCCACATCCACGTGGCTTTCCTGAAGGCCTCTCGTGCTGTCTGCCCCGCCAGACCTGCATCCAGGCAGACCCTGCCCTGGTGACCTGATGCAGGCCACATACACCGGCTTATACGTGATCCCACATTTAGAAAGACTAGCTAGTTGTATTAGTAATAAAAGGACAGGAAAATCATTAGAATTTCAAGTTTATGGAAAAATGTGATGTTTTTTAAGTTGAGAAATAATAAAATGTTATTAAATGAAAATTATCTTGATGATAGTATATATAATTAATGAATTTCTGGAAAAATAAGTAGGAAAAAATGTGGGGCTTTCTCAAGTAAATGTAGTTTTTTAAAACTCTGTAAATATTTGAAAAACCAACTGAAAAATGACTTTTTAAGAATCGAGATATAGTTGATTTACAGTATTCTGGGTGTATAATACAGTGATTCAAAATTCTTATAGATATTTCACTTAAAGTTATTATAAAATACTGGCTGAAAAAGAAGTAATTTTAGTTTTTGTTTTTTTGGTAGAGTTCTACTAGTAACATGTTGTTCTTGAAAAATGGTAATCTGCAAGAGTTTAGAATTATTTAGCCAGTGGAATCTGACTGTAGTATTTCTTTTGTAGTAATGTGGTTTCTTAAACATTTTCACATTTTCCTGTTTCATCAGAGGTGGCTGGTTTTTGTTACAGTACACATTGAATTTCTTTTTCTTTTGAGGTGATAGCTGTGGCTTATGGTTGTGTCGGAAAGGTAGCAGAGAATAGCACATTTGAGAAGATAAATGTCAGGAACGCTGGAAGTAGACATTTAGTCTTTCAGATTAATGGGCAAGAAGGTCAATAATTGTGTGGATTTCAGTAAGCTTAAAAATAATATTCTGCTGGTTCTGTAGTACTGTGCAAACATTGAATTAATTTTTAGGTGTTGCATTTTGATGGTTGACTGTTTAATTATGGCAGAGATATACAGAATACACCTATTTTGTAATATGAGGTTATACATAGATGGGAATGGGGCTGCAGGAGATCAGTTACTTGGTGTTTTCAGAGGAAAACTGGAAACACATTGACCTTTTTGAACATGACCGTTTATTTCCCCGCCTTCCGTCCTGTTTTCCTGTTGTTCCTTAGGGCCCTCCGGAGTTCCCGCAGCACACGCCCGGCCCCGTCCCTGGCAGCTTCAGCCAGCCGCCCCGGCTCCCCCTTCAGGACCAGTGGAGGGCCCCGCCCCCACCCCAGGAGCGAGACCCGTTCTTCCTGGGAGGTAACGAAGGGGTGGGGGCGGGGCCGGGCCGCGCGGGGCTGTGCTTTCAGCCCTGCTCAGCTCCCAGGCGGGCGCTCACACCATAGCCCTGCCTGTCATGTCAGATGCCAAAAGGGGACATGAGTGCATCTGAAAGGTGCAGATTTCCTGTGAAGGAGGACATCATCTGTAGAAAGTAACTAAGGAAGCAGTTCTAGAAACACATAAGCAAAATACAGAATTCTTTTCAGACGCTCACCCCCAGGCACCACTGGTTAACTTTGGTCCTTAGTAGGACAGTACATAAAGCTGATGTCTGCAGAGTGTTCTGTGTAACTAGAGGTAATTAATGTTGCAACTCCCCTCAGTTTCAGGTGAGCCAAGGTTCCCGAGCCATCTCTTCCTGGAGCAACGAAGTCCCCCCCCACCGCCGCCTCCTCCCACGCTCCTCAGCAGTGGTCACCCTGTGCCCACGCCCAGCCCCTTGCCCTTCACCCAGCCCGGCCCAGCGTTCAGTCAGCAGGGGCAGCAGCCTGTGTTCCCCAGAGAGAGGCCCGTGAGGCCAGCCCTCCAGCCGCCGGGGCCAGTGGGGCTCCTGCACTTCAGCCAGCCGGGGTCCGCAGCCACACGGCCCTTCATCCCTCCTCGCCAGCCCTTCCTGCCGGGCCCCGGACAGCCCTTCCTGCCCACCCACACGCAGCCCAGTCTGCAGGTGAGTGACTTGTGTTTCAGAATCCGAAGGACAGGCTCCACATTGTCATTCTAGTCTACTGAGATGTGGAAAGTGTTTAAAGAAAAAGGCTATTAAACTTAATGTACTCTTGATTAAGACAGCTTTCTTAATGTTGCTTATTTTCTTAACCATAGGAAAAATGGAGGTAGTGATTGTCATTTTTGGGGGAAAGGAAAAAATTCAGTATTAAGATTTTGTAAAGGATGTTCCATATACTACTAATAAAATTAGGACATGTTTTGATAATACCTTCGCTTATCACTGCGAGATTCTCAGAAGGTTAATAGGAAGTCAGCTTCTTTGTCAGATCACGTTCCTGCAGTGTGTAGTGGGGAGAAACCGGTTGCTGCTGCCTCATTATTTGAGAGATTTGAGTGCCCTCTGCTGGTGGGTTTTTTCATCAGCTGCTGGAGTCTGCTCTTACCCAGAAGGTTTCATCTCATATTTTAAGTTTACTGTTAAGGTGTGTAATGATGATATGCTTGAACCAATTATATAGAAACCACATAGAATATGTACCTAAAATAAAAATAGGTAAATGGTTATTTCTTAAGATGTTAAAGTAAGATAAAATGTTTCTTCCTAAATTATTTTATTAAAAAAATATACTTTGGGAATTCCTTGGTGGACCAGTGATTAGGACTCCTCTATTTTACCGCCACAGGCATGGGTTCACTTTGGTTCCACCATCTAGAAACCTGACGTTAGGGTGACGCATTTCTCAGTCTTCTGGTGCTTGCATCCTCGTGATGCTTTCTTTCCCCAGTTAGCTCCTTATTGCCATCTCTCGTGGTGGTGAACATTACCTGGCTGGTCCTAGCTCAGGCGCTCATTGATTGCTTTCAGCACTTGGGTGTTAGAAACAGTGTTGCCGAGAACATCCTTGAGACTGTGTTTCCTTCCTTCTTAGTTGTTTCCTTAGGATACATTCCTGGAATTTCAGAATTTGAGGGGTTAGAGCAAATGTAAAATGCCAGATAGTAGCTTTTGGCTTATTACTGCCTTTAAGGTATCATTCACCTTCATCAACCAATCTAAAATGAAATTTTAGTGCCACTTGAAGTTTCTTCTGGTGTTGGGATTTTTAGGGAAGTGGCTGCACTGGAAGGTGAATAGTTCACACGTGGTAAACTGTTCTCTCTCTCTTTTGCCCGGGAAGGGGCCGCTGCACCCCCCGCTGCCCCCGCCACACCAGCCGCAGCCACAGCCGCAGCCGCAGCCCCCGCTGCAGCCCCCGCTGCAGCCCCCGCTGCAGCCGCCCCCGCCGCACCAGCCTCCACACCAGCCGCAGCAGCACCACCACCACCTCTCCGTGCCGCCCCCGCCGCTGATGCCCGTGGCTCAGCCCCAGTTCAGGCCTCACATGCCGGCGGCCCAGCCTCAGCCCAGCAGCAGCCGGATGCAGTGCCCCCAGCGCCCGGGGCTGCGGCACGTAAGTGTCCCGTGTCCTCAGCCGGCTCCGGGGACAGCTGTTCTGGCACAGGACTTTGGTGTATCTGCCAGTTTCTGTGGTGATAGATGAGGTTATTGATTGACACATAACTTTAGAAAATATTCTTGGGTGATAGTCATCCTACCTTTGCTAGTGGTTTATTACTTGGTACCAAGATTCTCTCTAACTCCTTGGGCAACTAATGCAAATGTAAGTGCATTCAGAAAGAATTTATTGAATATCTTTTGTTGTCAGGTGTTACTCTAGTTCCTGGCAATAGAGCAGTGCACAAAAGAGACACATTTCCTGCCTTCGTGGAGCTTAATCATGGGGGAGAGCCGCATTGATTCAAGTGCTGTCAGCAGATGTGTGGCTTGTCAGGCATTGAAAGAGGCTAGAAAATGCGTGTTGCTTTGAAATTCAAAGATTAGTCATCATTACTATCTTGTCCCCCATTAGATGCACGCATGCTAAGTCACTTCAGTCATGTCCGACTCTTTGTGACCCCATGGACTGTAGCCCACAGGCTCCTCTGTCCATGAGATTTTCCAGGCAAGAATACTGGAGCGGGTTGCCATTTTCTTCTCCAGGGGATCTTCCCCACTCAGGGATCGAACCCAGGTTGCTTCCATTGCAGGTGGATTCTTTACTGTCTGAACCACCAGGGAAGCAACGCTGTGTTTTTCTTTGAGTAACATTGAGACTAAAGTGATATAAGAAATTGGAAAGGATTTCTAGATCTGGAAAGAGGGTGCTTTGCCACCTGGACTTCATCTTACGAGGTTAGTGGCAGACGATGCCCCCGGCCTTGAGCCGTGCCACCTGGGGTACCCCCTCCTTGGCCTCTGCGGATCTGCACGCTCCTCCAGGTGTGGGGTCTGTTGAGAATCTGGAGAGCGAACGTGACTGACCAGTGTCCTCTTTGATGAAACCTTTGGGCCTCTTTCTCCTCCAGAGTGTAGTTTTTTTTAGGGCACTAGCTTAATGTTTTGTTCCTTGTTCTACCTGGAATTTAGGGCCCTGTTGACCGTGGGGGTCAACAGTACTGGCACCGTGGTCAGTACCGGGGTGCCAGTAACCCAGCTGACTCCTCATGCAGGAGGGTCCTTGTTGCTCTGTTGATTCTGTTAAAAATGTCCCAGTCCTGTAAGGCACCTACTGCAGTCATCTGGTGTAATGTCCATAAAGAGGAAACTGTCCGCCTGCCGGCATGACGCCTTTCCCAGCCCCAGGGCTTAGCTGTAGGGTATGCTGCTACATGGAGCAAGAGACATTTATGTAGGAGGAGAATGTTTACCAGTGGGACAGTGTCTGCCTCCCAAAAGAGAAGTCACTTACTCAGTCAGAATTAATCTAATGTGCCCAGTTTCTTCTCCTGAGTTTCCAGTTGTAATTACAATTTTTTTCTTGTGACAGAACACTACTTCTCAGAATGTAACCAAGCGACCAATGCAGCAAATGCAGCCAACTGCTCCGAGAAATAGTAATTTGCGTGAATTACCGATCGCGCCGTCGCACGTTATAGAGATGAGTACCAGTCGCTGCTCCTCCACACCTGCAGCTCAAGTGAAACCCATCACGAGCACGTCTCCGCCCTCGAGGCCCGGGGTGGGACCCAGGAACACGCAGGGGAAGACTGAAGGGAGAGTCAAGCCACTTAGCCCTGTGGGTCAGCCTAAAGAGGAAGCAAAGACAGAACCAGAGGTGGGGCTTTTTTTTTTCTTTTTAATTAAAAAACAATACTTGGTCTCAAACAGGGAGATCTTATAATCAACCTTTACTTCTTAGGTAGAAGGTAAGTACTTATAACCTGCTTAGAACACACTTAGCATCCAGTGTGTTCTTCCCAGAATCTTCCCACTTTGTTTTCACCGGCTCCTCCTTGTAATCTAACCACCATATTCATAGAAGATAGTTTCATTCTCACTGGCCCTGTCTTAGATTGTGTTTATGTATTTATATAGTTGCAGCTGTATGTTGCAGAATCTGCAACAGAATATCAGGATCTGATACAGATCTGATACAGAATATCAGGAATCTTAGCAGACTGCTTCTCTAAAAGGCCCAGAGGATAAATATTTCTGGCTTTACAGTCCGGATGGTCGCTCAGAATGACTCAGCTCTGCAGGTTTAGCACAGAAGCGGTTGTAGACAGTTCCTACATGGACGGGCACGGCTGTGTGCTGTGAGCACTGGGCCGAATGTGGCTCATGGCCTGAGTTAGCTGACCTCTGACATGCACTCTTACGTTCCTGCGACTTGTTCTGCTTTTACACTGTGAACTACCAGAAGGTAGGACCAGTTTTACTTTGGACCTTTAGGTAAGTTGGGGGTGGGCGTATTTTGTTTGAATTGTCTATATTATTGCTGATTTCAAAGTAGGTATAAATATGTAAGAATAAATAAAAATGCAAGTCAGTATTCTATGTGATTTCCTATTGAGATGTTATTTGATATAGTTTTGACTGCTTGGTTGTGTTTTGCTTAGAGGCAGCTCAGTATTAATGCAGTATTAGTCATGAAGCTTAAAATTTTTAGAAAATTTCTTTACATTAGTAAAATTTATTAGTTTACTCCTCAGACGAGCCCCTTCTGTCCATTGGTCTCCTGTCCAGGTGTTGAGTGCGCTTGTCTAGTGCTTACCTGCAGCTGGGGTCCCCTCTGGGCTCCCCCTAGAGTTGTAGACACGGAGGCTGGGCGCTGTCTCCCCAGTGCGATGCAGCTCTCACAAAGCCGGGGTGTTCAGTGCGATGCGGGCCAGGGCACACCCCTGAACAGCCCGCTGCCGTGGCCAGCAGAGCGGCTCTGAGCCTGTTAGCTCACGTGTCCCGCGCTGTTGGGCGCATGAGTCAGACACGGCAGAAGACCTGTATGTGAGAGTCATGCTAGTTCTGTGGCAGTGTTAGAATGTGAGAAATGAGCGTGTGTGGTAACTCAGTGTATGAAAGAGCAGTGGCACAGAGGGTTTCCTCAGGTAAGAATGCAAGCAAGTCGTGTCTTACTAGATTGTCTTCTAATAAGTTACGATAGCAGCTGTTAAGGTAATACTTCTAAATCAGAAGTGTAAGTATAAGGTAAAAATACTGAGTTAACATTTAAAAACATCTTATTAGAGCAAGGGTGACATTATGGTTTTAAAATCAATATATAAAAGAATAATGTAGATTTACAAAGTGGACCGAGATAATTTAGAAATCTTTGCTAACAGTTTTTATCTTGCTTTTAGTTTATGTAGGTAGTTCCTAACTCATGTATAAACAGATATGGCTCAGAAAAGTGAGGTCACATACACTTTTATAATGACAGTGGCTAAAATGAGAAGAGTGGCTTTTTAGGCATAGTGTTGGCCACACCTGTCCATCCCTTCCATAGTAGTTGGTTCAGGCAGGCTTCTGAAGACGCCTTCTCTAGAGGAAAATGGGCACTTTGTGCATAAAATGGAACTTGCAGGTGGCGACAGTGTAAGTGGAGTGGAACCAGGAGTAGTTTTTTGTGTGGTGGTTTTTTTTTTTTTTTTTCGCTTTCTAAAGTCTTCTATTTATTTTGCTTAGGCAAATGTGAAATGTGATTTCTCTTATATTCACTCAGTTGATAATGACATAATAAAGGACAGGTCTATTTTGAAATATTTCTACCTATATTCTTGAACACACTTTAACTGTTGTTCGACTCCTTGGGGGAGAAACCCGAGCGGGTGTTAACTCCCTGCTCTGAAGCAGTGGGCCCTCTGCTCCTGTTACTGCTGTCCCAGAATGGCCTGGCTCTTGGGCTTTTTGAATGTCTGTTTTTCTCTCTTCCCCTAGTGTCACTTCCAGCTCCGTGTAGCCCTCATCTAGCTTCAGATTTGCTGTTTGAAGTTAGATGACTGAGTTGTCAGAGCTGCTCCTGAGATGTAGGGAGTGAGGCCCTGGCTCTGTGTCTTGTAGGGCCGGTGCGTGGGCCCTGGGGGCGCCAGGCAGCTCTCAGCGACGTTTCAGTCTTGGGTGGTGGTTTAGTTGCTAAGTTGTGTCTGATTCTTGCAGCCTCATGGAACTGTAGCCTGCCAAGCTCCTCTGTCCATGGGATTCTCCAAGCAAGAATACTAGAGTGGGTTGCTATTCCCTTTTCCAGGGGATCTTTCCAACCCAGGGATCAAACCCTGGAGTTGATCTTGGAGTGCAGGCAAATTCTTTACCGAATGAGTTATGAGGGAAGCTTTGGTCTCTTAATTCCAAACTTGTAAGGTTTATTTGTTAACAGTGAATTCTGGGTAGATTAAACCCTATTACATTCTCTTGGAAAGGGTCTGTGAGTGATGATATCTAAGATTTTTTGAAAGAAAATTATTACAATTTTAAACATGCTTAACTTCTAATAAAGTTTCCTCTCTGAATGCATTTTTTTTTTTGAAAATTATTGGACTTTATAAAGATTCTTTTGATAGAATGGTTTGAGGATGGCATATTAAAGGCATCCCTTATATACCATTAATATTCCAATACTGCAGTTGGCAGCATTTTGATTCTGAGGAGAGTGCATGAGTTCAAGGTCAGAGAGATTGACTTGGCTGTTCATTATAAGCAATTATTCTGTGACAAATGAGTTTGAGATCAGACTGAAAATTCTGTACAAAAAATCAATAGTTCTAATCAGGCCCTTTCAGGTCATTTACACCCCACCTTTTGTTGGTTCATCCGAGAAGAGCCAGATAAAGCCTGTGTGACAGCAGGGCCTCCCTGCTGTTGCAGTTTCCATTTCAAACGTATTTTGATATCATAAATGAATAGTTTAATTGATTTAAAGTTGTAAATGAGTGGAAATTTACATTATTTCATTTTTAATATTCTGATAAGATTTTCCAAATTAGCTTCAGCTGTGTAAATTTTTTTTCCCCTCCCCCGGGAGAAGGAGTTCCACTTAAAGTCTGTAGGCAGATTTGAATGGTTTCTTTCAGATCCTGAATTAAAGGGTTTTTAGAAAGTGCTTTTTCTTAAGTTTGTTGAAGCAGACTGGAACTGTAGCTCGCCTCGTACTCGAGAGTAAAGCACGTGTCTCTGGTTGCAGTCTCCTGATGAAGATGAGGAGACGCGGCTGTACCGCCTGAAGATAGAGGAGCAGAAGCGCCTGCGGGAGGAGATCCTGAAGCAGAAGGAGCTGCGGCGGCAGCAGCAGGCGGGCGCCCGGAAGAAGGAGCTGCTCCAGAGGCTGGCCCAGCAGCAGCAGCTCTGCGCCCCGCCCGCCCCCGCCGCCCCCGCGGAGCAGACGCCCGCCCTGCCGCCCGCCAACGGTAGCCCGCTGCTCCCCTTCCCGGGGCCTCCGGTCAGACCCAACGTGAAAAACAGACTGCTCGTGAAAAATCAGGATGCGGCCGTTGCAAACGTTCTGCCCAAAGCATCGGGGTTTGTGCCGTCTGGTGCTCACACACAGTATCCAGGACAACAGCTGAAACCACTGAAACACTTGAGACAGGCCAGAACCATACCTCAGAGTCCAGCTCAGCACAAAGTCCTGCAGGTAAAGCCCGCCGACGGGGAGGGCCTGCCGCCCTCCTCGCAGACCGCTCGAGCCGCATCCCTCCAGGGCCGGCCCCCGGAGGCCAAGCCTGGCACCAAGAGGACTGTCATGCACCGGGCCAACAGTGGCGGCGGAGATGGGCCGCACGTCAGCTCCAAGGTCAGGGTGATTAAGTTGTCAGGCGGGGTAAGTTGACGAGGTCACCAGGGCCTCTTGGACTCTGTGTTTCTCTGAGTGTGTCCCAGCTCCCAGAGAGTCTGTGAAGGGGAGGTCAGGTCACCCTCTGCAGTCCCCTGGGCAGCCCTTGTCCCCTGAAGTGCTGTGGGAGGGTCCTTGAGATGCTGCTTCCCGCTGGGACCCCTGCTTCGGATCTCTTGAATCTTAGTGGAAAATCAGTGTGACAGTTCCTAAAGTCCTGATTTAGGAGTTTTGTAGAATTTTTAACCTCTTTTTGTAGATAATTTATAGTACAATCCTCAATTTTGTTTTAAAAATTAAATTTCCTTTACCACAGAACAGATAATCTATTGTGTGTAGCTTTAGATTCAGTGAGCGTCAGTGGGTGGGGAGGGGGCAGTGTGTGTTGCTTTTAAGCAGCTTTGTCCCAGACACCATTTCCCTGTCTTCCAGTTCAGGCTGGTTGCTCCATCCCCCCATCCCCATTTGAGGAAAAAGGGGATCGACAGTCCTAACGTGAGATCATGGGGGATCTTCCCACGGCCTCCTTCAGAAGCGGGGCGCACCTCGCTCCCCTCTTCACCTTAGCTCAGCGCCCGTCTTGGCGCGTCTGTAGTGAAGCACAGCAGCTGCAGCCTGCCTTTGCAGTCTGGATAATCCCAGCCCTTAAAGTGAGCAGACAGAATGCAGATAGACCCCGCTGTAGGAGATCCTCTTGTCAACCCGCTAGAATGCTGATGTTCAGTCACTCGGTCGTGTCCGACTCTGCGATCCCATGGGCTGTGTATCCTGCCAGGCTCTTTTGTCCATAAAATTTCCCAGGCAGGAATACTGGAGTGGGTTGTCATTTCCTTCTCCAGGGGATCTTCCCGATCCAGGGATCGAACCTGCGTTGTCTTCATTGCAGGTGATTCTTTACCACTGAACCACCTGGTGCTTTCTTAACCCTGGCGTGTAGTCTTTACTTTCTTAACCCTGCTGTGTAGTCTTTACTTACTATAGAAAGTACGCCCATCTTTTGCTTTAATTGTAATGAATTAACCACAGATTATTTATAGTAGGAAAAGTGCGTGCATGCTAAGTTGCTTCAGTTGTGTCTGACTCTGTGTGACCCCATGGACTGCAGCCCACCAGGCTCCTCTGTCCATGATACTCTCCAAACAAGAATACCGGCGTGGGTTGCCATTCCCTCCTCTAGGGGATCTTTCCAACCCAGGGAAAGATGTCCAACCCACGTCTCTTATGTCTCCTGCGTTGGCAGGCAAGTTCTTTACCTCTAGTGCCACCTGGGATCCTGTAGGAAAAGGAAAGGACCTCAGATTCTCAGTACCTCCAGGGAAGCAGGACCACTAGGAAGTGCAAGGAGTGCGGAGTCATTTGCCTTATGAATTAGGGGCACCTTGTCCTTAGCCTTTTAATCAGACGAGTTTCCATTGCTTTTGTTTCTTAGCTTGTATGCTAAAGATGGAAGTGTTTCAAATACCATAAGAACATTTTTGATAGACCAAATCTGTTTTTTCTCACCTCCATTCGTTGTCATTCAGAATGTCGATAAATAGCTGGCCTATGTTGTATCAGATTGTTTTACCTCTAGATGAAAACCCAAGTGTTCATCAGTTTCCAGCGCCTTTGTGGCCCCTTGCTTCTGACCTTGTTTTAATCCTAGTCTTTGTCAGTGTCTCCTGTTTTTCCTGGAGTCATAAACTTAAGAGGATGGGCCCTGGGGCCGAGGCTGGGAGCGGGCCTTTTGCCCCGGCAGTCAGCTGGCGCCCTGTGGGCCAGTGCGCTCTGGGCTTTGAGGGGCTAGGAGGTGCAGGGCACGGCTCTGCTGTTGTGGGCAGCCTTCCGCTGATGAGCACCTTGTCTTCAGAAGAGTTTATCTGCTTCCATTTTTGCTCTGCTGGAAAACGTGTTTTTTATATCAGATCATATTCTAAAATCATGCTGTATGATTTTACAATACACAGGAAAACAAAAGAGGAATTTTACATGCAAGTAGTTATCTGCCAAACATTGAAGTTGTTTTTTAGTTCTTCTTAATCCTTAAGTTTTAAGTTACCAACATGTTCTGTGAATTAAGATTTTTTATTCTAGTAATGCCTCCATATTGGCAACTTCCACCTTTTCAGAGGATAGTGGTCTCTTGTTTGTATCTCTCTGGAGTAGAACAGTGTTTCCCTCACGTCCTGGGTTTTTGCTGCTGTGTAGGTGTGTGTGTGTGTATTTTGGTGGGTAGGAACTGTTTATGAGAGAACATGCCCATTGTGCAAAAAGGAAGCAGTTTAAGTGCTAAGCATGCTGTCATTTCCCTCTCAGTCTGCCCCTGCTGGTCTTGGTCCCCTCGCGGGGACTGTGGTGCTCATGCCCAGGACTGTGCTGTGCTGTGTACTGGAGCTGGTGAGGGCCCCGCAGGGGCTTCCTCTCCGGGAGGACTGACTCGTATATGTATCTATGGAGAATGCTCTTCATGCATTTCAGGTTTATAATTACTTGTTTAATAAAAGCATCTCACTGTGAGTCCATGTTCTTGTATTTTGCTGATTCCAGGCCGCCTTCACCTTCTGTTAGTGCAAAAATATATGTTTTGTTTATAAGATTTCCTAGAGAAATTTACTCTTTAGAGGGTTTTATTTCCTTCACTTTTTTTTTTTTTAACTTAAACTGGCATCTAGTGTATTAATTAAATTACTCTTTGCATTCATTGGTCTCCATACAGGACACTGAACTATCATGGTACATAAAACTGTTTAGAAATTATGTGCTGGTGGTGATCAGAGTCAAAATATGCATCTACAGACTTGTTAGGAAAATAGAATTTTCTTGGCAGTCTTATTCTGATATACAAATTGAAAATACATTACAACTTAAATTAAGTTTCTCTAGGCGAGCTTTTACCTGTGAGGCAATGGTGAATCAACAAGAACTTCTCTTTTTGTCATTTTCCATATTTCATTATCTCTAATTAAATAATTTATCTAAGTTGAGTTTTTTGAAAGGTGAAAGAGCCTGAGTCTTAAGATGAGGTTTTTCAGTCTGCCCTTTCATTAATCATGTTGTTTTTAAAGTGATTTTCATTCATATTGGTCATCCAAGGAGACTCTGGTCTTTCTGTCTTGTTCCTCTTTGTTAGAGCTAATACATTGTGGACATGGGAATCGTTTGCAGGAAGGGTGGAACAAAGAGTCTTTCTTGATGTTGGCAGTCAGGTGAGCAGGGTTGTGGTCTGGGTTGAAGGCTCGCAGAGCTGTCCCTCACTTTCTTCGAGGGCAGTCTTGGCATTGTGTGTGTTGTTGGCCGTCCTGAAGTTATGTGTTTGGAGCTTGGAGATTGAGGTTCTTGTCACCAGGGCAGAGTGCACACGTGTGTACACGAGGGCGGGGCGAGGTGAAAATGACAGGGCTGTGGATGAGAGAGACCCATGGCTGGATGCTGGTCTCTTATTTATTTCTTTGGGACCTTTCTGACACAGAGAAGTTACTTTATAAATGTCCATTTTCTTTTCAGAATGCTCCTAAGGCCCCGTCTAGAAACACATTCCCTGATTTTATGCCATATAATAAGTGGTGGCTGCTTATCAAGTATTATCAAGCATACTGCTTATCAAGCACAGTTGCTGCTTAGCATGTAGTCACAGCAGCCTTACAGGTTAGCTCTATCATTTACCTTTTACAGTTAAGTAAGTTGAGTGTCGGAGAGGTTATATTAGTTGCCCAGGGCCACTCAGCTACTAACTAGTAGAGTGAGGCCTCTGAATCTTGTGCTTTTTACTGCTATTTATAATAGTTGTTTTTGCTGTTCCTTTTCCCCATGTGTTCCTTAGTTCTAAGTTAGGGAGACTAGTCTACTGTTTCCAGTGAGTATATGGTAATCAGAGTTGATTCAGAACATCTTTAGGGACTGATTGTGTTTCATGTCGCTTGCCAACCCCGGTTGGTGGCGACCAGCCCTGAGAATTTTGGGAAGTGTTTGGAGGTACAACACAGCACCCTGAGTGGTGAGTGGTGTCAGGGCTGGAGGGTTGGCGTGGAGTGGCCTGGTACCACCTGGCCGATAGCCTGGTATGTTGAAGTGGATGGCGGTGTACCCCGGTGGAGGGTGGCTGGGACTTGCTCTGTGCTATAAATGTGTCTTAGAACATTTCTGTATGAATCAGAGTGGGATTTTTATTTAAAACTTTGCGTTGAAATCATGAAGGGAACTTGAAATTTAAAGAGACCTTTTGTTATTAGGCACATGAAATGTCTCTGTGAATTTTCGTTTTCCCCCACTTATATTTTATCGTCTGGATTTGTTAGGTGAGACTTAAACACATTAACACTGCTTTTAAAGAGTGTTACGTATTGTTAACTGTTGCTTCTAAAATTTAATGTGCCTCCCTGAATATTGTAATCAACTTGAAGAATTGCATTTGATGGAATGGTTCTATTTTTATTACTTAAAACATAGGAATATTCTCCATTTGCTCACTTCTCAGAAAGCTACTTTAAAGTATTTAATTCTCAGAAACCAAAAGAGAGAAATCTTGTTAAATCATAACTGCAGACATCCCTCGGTGGACCAGTGGTTAGGACTCCACCCTCGCTGCTGAGGGCCTGGCTTCCGTCCCTGGTTGGGGAGCTAAGATCCTGTAAGCCCCGTGGCATGCCACTCCTCCCGTCGTCATAACTGTTCATAACCAGCACACAGTCCAGAGAAGCTCCTCAGGTACTGACCGAGCATATATAAAAATACAGACTGTTCAGTGTAACTTACTGTAGTCCCCCCCAGCCATGATTTGTGATTCAACACCAGAGAAAAGAAAGAACAGGCGTGTGCCAGGCGAAATTCAGGAGTTTGCTTAGGCCCGCAGCTCTGTCTTTCAGTTTAAGGGAACCAGGGAGCCTGTGCGGTGTGTGTGTCGGGTCAGCTGGCCTGCACGAGCACCGGTGTGGCCCGGGGAGGCGAGTGCCCGTGCCCAGCCCCGGGCGCTGGTCAGTCCCTGCGTCATTCCTGAGACCTGGGTTCTCGGT